TTCCTTTGGGTGAGACCCAAGTGGTTCTCAAGGACGTACCCCGATGGTTCTCAAAGTGTGAGTCGAGGAGCCCAGGGGCGCCTCGAAATGTTAAAAAAATTTGATACGTGTAATTCCTTTCTTAAATTCAATGTGACAAGACGCGACATCTAGCGGACATGATGCAAACCAGTATCTCCACTACGCTTAACAGTTTTCATAGAAGTCTACAAATGGTCACTAATGGCACTTTGTGCTCTTAAATACTATCTGGCATAGGAGTAGGCTTTGGATTTAACGCAGGGTCCCTTGAGAAAGCCCGGATTTATCAAAGGCATTAATGCTCAAAAATTTTTGGAAACTGCTGCAGTGCGAGAAAGACCAATGTCGGAAAAGCCGTACCTCTCCGTGACTTAGAAGCAACGAAAGACAAGAACAAATGGGGTGACTTGAAACCTTAGAACCTGCGCGCATTGTCCGAGTTGTCGCCCTGAGACAGGCTTTCTATTATAGGAACCGACTAGTGCACTCTCGCTCCACAGAAACTTGAATAAATCTGGCTCCAACTCATTTTATTAGAGCTTTCGCCGCGCCCTTTCTCTCTCTCTCTCTCTCTCTCTCTCTCTCGCTCTATCTATCTGACTCTCTCTGTACATAAATCTATACCTCTCTCTTTTATTTACCCTACTTTCTCTCTCTCCCTATCTTTCTCTTGAAAACGCTATCTCTCAAACACACACACATATACACGCTCTCACTACCTCTATATCTTACTATTTATCTATTTTTCTCACTTACTCTGCCAGAGCCAATAACGCTAAAAGCCGAACCTATCTCTTACATTACACTAAATATCCCCCCCCCCCAAGAAAAAAAAACATTCCCTCACTCTCACCAGTCCCCAATCTCATCCCCCAAAAATATTTAGTTGACTAATGATTGATCATAATTTTGATTTTGGTTAATTTTAAAATTGTCTTTTCCTTTTGTCTGTGTTTTTGTTTTTTAAAAAAAATACATTTTTTCTGATCTTAATTTTCTTTAAAAAGGTGGGGCAGAGGGGGTTCAGGTAAGTGATAAGAAAAAATGTTCACCCCAGAATTGAGTAAAGTAGAAATAGCTATTGAAGTTTTATTTTTTATATTTTTTTCATGTTACTTTCATTTGCCAAAAATTTCTTTTTGCTTACTTCCACTCTGAGCGACAAGGTAATTTAGACATGTTACCAAAGCTAAATGTCTCATCTTAATTAGCGAACGTCATACCACGTTATACCACGGCAGGTTGCGTGTAGGACTGTCTGTAAGCCTCTTGTTTAAACGCCGGCAGGTAGGGTGTAGGACGGTCTGTAGGCCTATTGTTTAAAAGCCGGCAGGTAGGGGGTAGGATTGGCTATAGGGCAGGGGTCTCAAACTCAAATTACACATGGGGCCGCGGGAGGTAGAGTCTGAGTGAGACTGGGCCGCAACAAGTATTCCACAAATAAAGCGATTACAAATTCAATCAAGTACTACAATAACAATCTGCTCAACCTTTATTAATAACAAATAAAAACATTAAGGGTTCTCAAAACTAGGCCATCACATTGCGTATCATTGTTAACAGCATTATATCCTTTGTAAGCAAATAAAATTCCATGTGATTTAAAATAAAAGTATTCAGCTAATAAATGCTATGAAAATAATGAGCTTCTGATCAGACGAAAAAGAATACAATTTTAAAAAATGGCGATTCCCAAGTGTAATTTTAAAACTTAGACATGTTCAGACAGAAGGCAGGAGCAGGCAATATTTATGAAATATTGATGCGAAGGAAGATGATATTGTAGGGAGAATACATTTTGATTTTTGACTTTACCGTAGAAAAGGCCTTTTGGACTAGTTCTAACCCTATTTGGAAAGCCACCAAGCTGACACGCTCGGAATTTCCCTCACTCGTAAACACTAACGGCAATTTTAATAGGGATTCTTTGATACTGTGTCAGATTGCTACGATGTACACAATGATGGTTGTGCATTACCCTCTAACTGATTTTTTAAAACTTTTCTCAAAACCGCACTTTGAACACGTTTGTCTCATAAAATGATGTAAAATAAAAACTTTTATTTCGATTTTAAAACGGGTTTTACCATGATAATCAACGTCCAAACCTATAAAAACATAATCAATCAGAATTAGACTAGTCGGTGAGATTCACCGCGGAGGGTCACTTTATAGATAAGAGAACGGGAAAAACGCGCGGTCCGCATTAACACTAAACATTATGTGCAAGTAGCGGGCTGCAAAATATTGTCTTGCGGACCGCAAATGGCCCGCGAGTTTGAGACCCCTGCTATAGGGCCATTGTTTAACGGCCGGCAGGTAGGGTATAGGACTGTCTGCAGGCCTATTGTTTATAGACAAGAAGACATTAACTCTTTTTTGTAACACTTGGACCCACTGTTTTTTCTTCTCAAAATACCCGGACCAAGTGTAAAATCTTGCAACAAGCCCCATTCTTACACCACCATATGCTATGGCGGGCATCAACTAATTTATTTATATTTTGGTGAGAGGGGCATGGCAAATATTTGTGTGGGACATCGCATAAATAAAACTCCATCCGTTGACCTACCTTTCACGTGATCAGCCAGGGATGGCACAGCTTGAGGCAGTGCTTTAGCCTCCCACTTTTCACGGACGATTGTTGCCTCAAGGTCAGTGATGTCGTCCATGTCAGTGGCATTTTCAGTTTCACCTCTGGTAGCAGACCGTGTATCTGAAAGGTGACAAGTCGTCATTACGAATTAGTTCAGACATCTAGAGGTTTTTGTTGTTTTGTTGGGTTTTTTTTTTTTTTTTTTTTTTTTTTGTTTTTTTTTTTTTTTTTTTTTTTTTTTTTTTTTTTTTTTTTTTTTTTTTTTTTTTTTTTTTTTTATAGTTTTTTTTTTCTCTTTTTCTTTCACTTGGTGAATGTAATGAAACCTTGAAAAAAATATCGGACAGTGTTACTATTTGAGTCGAAATGTTTGGTAAAATGTCATTTTAAATATCATCAAAATTATAAAATTGGCCATTTTATCATGGGCAGTAATCGTAAAATTATAGTGCCCTACCCTAGAAAAATAATATGAAGGTTATCTTTCCTTCTTATTTAATTATACCTATGCTTTTAAAATCAATTTTGGCTATATTATAATTATTCATCCATAATCACTAGGTTGAGGTTGTGTATTAGCTACCATTTTATTCATGATCCTATACAGGGCCGTGCGAAAAGAGAGTGAGAGAGGGGTGGCACTAGCCCCTGGCGCAAATGGGGGGGGGGGGGGGGGGGGGGGGCAGCGTCAAAATCGTTTTGAAATAGGTCTTTTAAAGTAAATTAACTTTCACAAAGATTAGGGGGGACAAAATCGTCTTTTACTGGTCCGCCAGTAACTTAAGGGACGCTATTTTTAGGCTCCACCCCAGGCACCGCTTTTCCTGATCCTACACAAACACGTCCGGCGAACTTAAAACTTTTAATGTCATCTGTGGTCGGCTAAAAATGAATGGCGGCAGTTCGTGGGAAGTTAACAGCAAAAACTGAGCTGGTTTAGAAACAAAACAAACACACAAAAACGTGATGCGTTAACTACATGAATTCTTTTTAAAAAATAAATACACGGATAGCTGCCGGGGAGTGGAACACACAGATCGCTACCATAAAATTAGTTCTGGAAGACACTTAAAATGACTTAAGACTTTGGTTGTGTCTTTGCTATTGATGTACTTAAAAGCTGGCGATGACAGTCGAACAATGCAAACAAAGAAGAGGGAAACATAATGAGTAATTTTTTTCTTCTTTTTTTAAGCTCTATTACATTAATACGTTTGCCTATCTGTTGCTACAGTATTGACAATAAGGAGATGCGACTGTTTACTTTCAACAAGAAATTACATTGAATGTAGCCCTTCCTTCGCCTGTGCACTTTGTGCTGGAGATTAGCTGACCCCGCTTAGATCAGCAACTGATGTAACCGATCGGTCTGTTTCATAAGCCGCTATCGGCGTACCCCGGGCCATGGTGTCAGTTAATTCACAAGGTATGACAAAATGAAATAAATCATACTAAGGTACGTTCTCGGGTACCTCTTCGATTTACAGTTCTAAATTAACCTAGGATTTACAGATCTGGCCTCGCTGGGTGGAATTACGTCATCGGCGGCTTTCCTAGTGCTGATCCTGTGGAGCGTTTTTCCTTCCAAATGGCATAAAGCAGAGGTTCTCCAGCTGTAATGCCGGAACAAGTTACCAACTGCTACAGGTCTAGATACTAAGCACATCAAACCAATTCTTTCATTTTCGATAGCTCATATTCATGTATCTATTTTTGCATAACATTTTTTCTTCACACTAGTTCGAACCCACCTACAGGACCAATAAGCTTTTTAAATCCTTTATATTAACTTCAATTTAGTTCTTGGGTGGCTGGCGAGCAAAATCTTCAGGCGGCTAATTGAACCCCCTCCCCGTCAGCCTACAGAGCTGAAACTTGGAACATAGACTGGTTGCCGATGACAATACATTCTATCCATTTTCAGCCCCACCCCGTACCCCAAAAATCAGTGTGTTCTGTTATTCAAGGAAAAGATAAAATCGAATCCCCGATAGTGCGTGTTCTGCATATTTTCATGTGTTTTTCTGAAATTGTTGGTGAAATAATCTTTGGTGTCAAAGCGGATGGGTCATTAGAATATTAATAGAGTTCAGGGGCGGTAAACAAAAAAATGTGTGGTTGCGAGTCTTGACGGGGTATATTTGTATGCATGTTTTGTCAAGTTTTCAGCCCCACCACACCCTCCTTTCCCCCCCCCCCCCCCCCATATTGCTCAATTTTAAATTTTATAAAGGATTTGTACGCAAAACTATTTTTTAGGGGTTGTTTACTTCTTTGATTAAAACGTCAAAGAGTGTCCATAAAGGACGGTGTCACAGAACTTGCGCACTCAAGCTGCACTCAATCCAACATAAACAACTACTGAACGGGGAGCGGGTGCGGTGCTTCCGCCAACTTGTGTTCAATGGCGTCGGTATAATCCGCACTTTTTCTTTCTATCAAAATGAGGGAAACAGAAGCGCCAGCAAGTATGAAATACGACAACACCAACAACAACACGTGCCCATCATATTCATTTCATAATATCGTATCGCAATCTTTTACATGTAAACGATAGGTTGCTCAGCTTCTGCTGTAGCCTGTGCCCCCCCCCCCCCAAAACTGACACTTACTGCTAGGACGGCCTGTGCCCCCCCCACTCAAACTCACACTTACTGCTAGGACGTCCTGTGCCCCCCACTCAAACTCACACTTACTGCTAGGACGTCCTGTGCCCCCCACTCAAACTCACACTTACTGCTAGGACGTCCTGTGCCCCCCACTCAAACTCACACTTACTGCTAGGACGTCCTGTGCCCCCCACTCAAACTCACACTTACTGCTAGGACGTCCTGTGCCCCCCACTCAAACTCACACTTACTGCTAGGACGTCCTGTGCCCCCCACTCAAACTCACACTTACTGCTAGGACGTCCTGTGCCCCCCACTCAAACTCACACTTACTGCTAGGACGTCCTGTGCCCCCCACTCAAACTCACACTTACTGCTAGGACGTCCTGTGCCCCCCACTCAAACTCACACTTACTGCTAGGACGTCCTGTGCCCCCCACTCAAACTCACACTTACTGCTAGGACGTCCTGTGCCCCCCACTCAAACTCACACTTACTGCTAGGACGTCCTGTGCCCCCCACTCAAACTCACACTTACTGCTAGGACGTCCTGTGCCCCCCACTCAAACTCACACTTACTGCTAGGACGTCCTGTGCCCCCCACTCAAACTCACACTTACTGCTAGGACGTCCTGTGCCCCCCACTCAAACTCACACTTACTGCTAGGACGTCCTGTGCCCCCCACTCAAACTCACACTTACTGCTAGGACGTCCTGTGCCCCCCACTCAAACTCACACTTACTGCTAGGACGTCCTGTGCCCCCCACTCAAACTCACACTTACTGCTAGGACGTCCTGTGCCCCCCACTCAAACTCACACTTACTGCTAGGACGTCCTGTGCCCCCCACTCCAACTCACACTTCCTACTAGGACGCCCTGTGCCCCCCACTCAAACTCACACTTACTGCTAGGACGGCCTGTGCCCCCCACTCCAACTCACACTTCCTACTATGGCGGTCTGTCCACCCCCTCCAACTGACACTTGGCAAGCGACTTGATAAAGAAGCCTTTCCAATTGAAATTTTTTTGGGAGGGGGGGGGGGGAAATAGCCCTAAGAACTAAAAGACATAGATTTATATTACCGAAACACAAATTATGTAGACATTATATTTTAAAACCCGACAATGGGAAACCCGTGTTTGTTAGTTCTATCGTCAATGTATGTGTATACGTCGTAACCCATCGTAGTCATGTGAATTAAGGTCCAGGTAATAGCTGGTGGTACTGTCCTACTGTAAAACCTTGAATTACATTTAAACAAACGGGGTTCCCTTCCCTTACATCAAACACTAAACAGTGGCTCTCTTATTCTCCAGGCTATAAACAGCTTGTGGAGCGTTTCAAAAATGATGACAACCACCGCGCCAACTAGGACGGGATACTATTAATAGCACCTGGGCTATCACGTGAAAGTAAACCAGCAACGCCGCTTAAAAATTTCATCAGACTGGGCAGTGAATATAAGGAATCTCCGATGGCAGAAAATTAAATGCAGGCAAAGAACAAGAAAGTACATGTTACAAAGAAGAAGCAGTCGCCACTGATGTCCAGCGATTTCATACAACTGAATAAATAGCATTTTACAGTTGTGATAAAAGAACGACCTTTAACCCCGTTTTGTTTCGTTCAATGAGCTGGCCGAGGTAAGTTATTTTATGTTCCGCTCGTTGTGAATTTTCGCTAAATATCAACAACAAAAATGTAATGGCTTATTTAGCAATAACGTGGCAAATGATTTAGCGTTGAAGTTTGGTAACAGAAATGCAAATCAACAAGGAGACATTCGCATGTTTCAAAGCGGTATTTTGAGGGGGTGCACAGCGGCATCGTCAAAATTGTGTTATTGTGAGACACTGCAGGGCTTTTAACGTGAGATCTGCTTCACTTAGAGTTGTTTTTTTATTATACTTTATAACGAATTCAATTGTTCGTTATTTCATATTACATAATAATTTGGGTCAAAAGGATGTGCTATCTATTTTCATCGATACAATCAGATGTTACCTAGGACTCTAGATAATACGTAATCCTACTACTGTTATTTTTACTTGAGTATAGTATATAAACGTCATTGACAGGTCCTGTTCACTCATCGAATAGGGTGGGAGATTGAGGGGGGAGGGGGGCGGTGGGTTACTTTATGTGGACATTGATTTTTATTGTGTAACTATTCTAAATTGCTGTGCAATCGTGTTCCCTATGAATTTCTCCTTAAGAAAAGGTAGACATTTCTTAAATTGTATTAATTTTTTTTTTATTTGACTGTCCTGTGTTAAATTTAATCGGTGTCTCCAAACAGGTACCATTATCCTGACTGGAAGCCATTTGCTGACTGGAGGCCCCCCTACCCGTATTGGAACTCTTATCGGCACTGGATGAGCCATCGTCACTACAGAGGCGGCAGCATGTTCGGCAGATTATTTTTCTTCCTCGTCGGTGTCTACGCTGGTGTTGTGGCCAACCAACGGTACCGACTGCCCCCAGCGCCCACACCGTGCGGCGGACACCACCATGAACACAGGTCTGACAGCAGGTCAAGGCTGGACGAGTATCCGGAACTCAAAGAGGCGATAGAGAAGCTGAAAGCGTTTGAAAAGCGCTACCGGAAGCACCCACCGAACGAGGAGCGGGCAGCCCCACCCACGACATCGTCAGCACCGCCTTCAAACTGAGTCTGATTGTTTACTCGAATTCAACGTTCGCTGAGAACTATTTCAAACTGGCTTAAAGTACAGAAACGATTTAAACAACGAACACACGTTTTTGAAGGGCATCATTTCATAGCTGCAGCATTACAAAACTTCATGGAGGCATTCATGTGATAGTTCATATATGAAAATAGTTTGATCAAGTATTTACCATGCTCATCAATTGTGCCTGAATGAATCAGTGTGAATTTTGAATGTATGAAAGTTGAAAGTGTGTGTTAAAAAACCTGTCCTGCTCACATATAATAATCCGAATTTGTGTCCATTTTTAATGCAACATTATATGTTTAAAACTTTTTTATTAAACAAATACCGAAAACCTGACCAGAAGTGCAGGTTTTTTTTTTCACTAACATTGTTGTGTTTACTTGCGTGTTAATAGCAATGAACAAATGATAGGCTCCAGTCATAAAACAAGATATTTTTACAACCACACATGGACTGCAGGTAGTGATTCCATTTTTTCCCCCCATGAAACATCTTATAATGTTGCCGTTTGAACACAATGAATTAAGTACACATCTATACAGGGCACACACATTGCCAGCACATACAATCATTTTGCCTTTCCTATACAGGTCACACACTGTGCCAGCAAACACGCTATGAAAGCCCATACATGGCGCACACTGTGAAAGCCCATACAGGGCCCACAAAATGCCAGCCCATACATAGCACACTATGCCTGACTATACATGGCACGATATGACAGCCCACACAAGGCACACGCTTAGCCAGCCCATACAGGGCACGCTTAGCCAGCCCATACAGGGCACACTCTAAGCCGGCCCACACATGGCATACATTATACGCCAGTCCATGCAGCATTGGAGAAATATATTTCGAATGGAACTTCAAATATTGAAGAATGCAATAGAAACAAGACTGCAAACGAACATATAAATCCACGACTGCTGTCTCATGTACTAAAGATGTATGTGTGGGAAGGCTTTCCAGGCACAAATTAAGCTGGTAGGCCACCTGCGTACTCACCGTTGGAGATAGCCTTGGTCATCTTCGCATGCGAAGGACGAGCAACAACCACTAAACAGTGCCGGGGAACACAGATATGAAAAAGTTCAATAATGAGTGAGTTGTAGGTGTGGTTACTTTATGTATTTTATAAGGCTGGGGGAGGGGGAGATTCTCGGGCACCATAGTCGGACAGCCACGTTATCGCTACCCATCTTCGACTTAAAAGATCCTTTGTCCACTGTTGGTTTTTCATCTATTTCATGTATATGGCCATGATTCGATGTACTTATGCCACCAAACTCCAAATCTCCTCTTTTCTTAATCTGTCCACACTAGTGTGAGCCACAATCACAAACCGCTATTTTTGGTAGCGCTTCCCCTACATTCCTAAATAAATTATTATTATTTAAAATATATGTACAAGACTTTCACACTTTGGGTTGTAGATTTTCCCGATCAGCATGTTTGTTTTAGTTATTAATATACCAAACTTCCGGGATCGGGCTCCATTGGGGCATTGCTGCAAAATGCCCTCCCTAACAATGGCCGTCTTTCTCCATGGATTACTATTTGTATAACTATGGGAACTATGCCAGTGTTCCGAACCAAACATACAAACTGATACAAAGGAAGGCGTAACAGTTTCTAGGCTCTGCTACGGTTGTAGTCGGGGTTTTTTGGGGGAAGTTTTTTTATAAAGAAGGAACTCATTTCTTAATTCTTCAACTGATTTGGTGGCGGTGTTGTTTAGTTGTTGCTTTGTTGGGTTTTTTTCTTTTAATGGCGGGACGACCTGTATTATTCATAGGAGGGGCCTGCATGGGAGTCTTACTCTTAGCTAGCCAACTGTTTCGGCATCCAAAACTGTCAACCAAGGACAGAAGAGAGGTCGACTTGGACAAAGAAGTGGAATTTCAAGAGGCCGTGCAGAAGTTGAATTACTTAAAAAGCAAGTGGAAGTCACTCACCACCGAGGAGCCGACTACGAATGCAATACGGAAACCGCCCTCCGCCTTCGCGCAGTTCGGCGACGAGTAGCCATGTTGGCCTGAGTCTACCCTGAAATTGGTAGCTTGGAGCCCGTTGTTCGGCACACGGTGGTTGCTTGTAGGACTTGCAGTAAAATTATCGGCATTCTTAACATGCAGACATTTGTCTGGTTGTTTTGTTTTTTTTAAATTCTAAAATAAGTCATTAAGATTTGTGGAGCTGATAAACATCTGTCACTCAATGTCTCTTCAATCTATGAATACCAATTTACTGATGGAATGAGGTCAACCATCAAATAAGATCAAATGTTAAGAATTCAATTTAAAAACGCATGCAATAAAGAAGAAAAAGTTATGCTGTGCTGTAGGGGATGTTACGCAGGTTAGCTGATCACCTGAAGCAGGGAGCAAACATACAGATCCAGACCTAATGAAAATAATTTAGCATATTTGCGACTTAGGCCTACCTTCGCCTAATATTGTTGATGAGTAAAGGAATCGAATTGTTGTATTCAAAAAAATGTTCAACTAATAAATCAACTCAAGAAAAAAAAAAAAAAAGGCATGGATTTTCTCCTGCATAACCTTGAAATGTTTCATACGTTTCTTAAAATGAACACTAAGGAAGCCTTATTTTTTAATTGTTTCACATTGTTGGAAAAACTCTAATGCACGGCAGCTAGGAAAATTAAAGACTGGCTAAGCAGGGAGAGCTCTCAACAGAAATGAACATCCTTAACTACAACACCAAAACACTGGAAAGTAGGAAGCACACATTACCTTTGATGCCTCTGCCCATTGTGACCGCCTCTCTCAGGTTGGGGAAATCATCCTCCTCCACAGCTGCAGAACTGACAGACTCCTTGTTGAACTTATGAGTTGACCTCTGACTAGCTGTAGATTTTCCTGGCAACATAAAGATGCAAATCAATGGTACAAACTATTCTTATCCATCAGTTCCATAGAGGGTCATGAGAAGAGCAGCTGGTGGGTGGAAACACAACAAACAATTAAAAACTGCTTTAAACCTGCTGCTGCTGTTCCTTGTTTTTTTTTTGTTGTTTCAGTTTTGTGTGGAACTTTGTAGCTGCGTTATCTAACTGCCATTGTTTTCAAATGTCAAGACACTTTTTTCCTTTAGGGTTCACGATTATTTATACTATCTATACGGCCAATTAAGGAAATATTATTCACAAAAAACTAGCTGTTTAGTACAGTTTTTTTAGGCTCCAACAATATTACGTAATAGATCAAAACGTTTCTGAAGCTCAAAGAAAATGCAAGCGAATCTAAGCAAATCTACACATACTAGTTGTTTTTTTAACTTTATAAACACACTCCTGACTTGCTTAATGAATATTTCAAGCTATTGCTTAGATTAATTAATAATTTTTATATTGCATCACACACATTCAGTACTGACGACTATTTTTTAAAGGCTGCATCTATAGGTACCCGGGTACCTATGGTCGCCAATAACTATTCGCACCCGGAGTGGCTCCGTACATATTAAATGGCTTCGAAGCCGAATGTGATAACAATAATAGTATGAGAATTATTTTTTTAAATTGGTTTTTATCCTTTTCTACTTCATTGATTAATAGTTTTATTATTTTTAGTTTTTAATTTCTCTTAGTACCAGTAGATTTTTTTTTCTTTTTTTTTTTTTTAATCTCTTAACGAAGATGATTTAGATACATTTATTGTTTTCATTTGATTTTTAGAAAAGTAATAATATTATTTTAATTTTTAAATTTAAATCTTTTATTTAAGATTATTTATGTGTATTGTTTAAGTTAAAAGATTTAAATGAAGATGATTTAGATACATTTATTGTTTTCATTTGAATTTTAGAAAAGTAATAATATTAATTTAATTATTAAAATTAAATCCTTTATTTAAGATTATTTATGTGTATTGTTTAAGTTAAAAGATTTAATCACACAGTACTTTATGAATTAATTAGCTATTCTAAATAATGAAAATTTCATTCAGAATTAATTTCAACTATTCCTCTTAGAGAGCTTGGCTTAGTCAGAACAAAACCACCAATTTTAAACCTTTTCCTTGGCACTGGGAGTCATACATGCGGACACTGACTGTTTTTCCTGATATCTTGAATCTCCTTTCAACAACTTTTCTCATTTGACTTGACCTAATTCACAAGCTAGTTGCAATGAACATCTTAAAGTTAAAGGATGCCATTGTATAAAGCATGAGAAGGAGACTTATTTTTGGAGCAATAGTCTTTATTTTTTTTTACCATAGCTGTCTACTGGGTCTAACACACTGGTACATAATTTAAAATTTAATAGAAAAAAACAACCCTGAACTGACTTGAGAAGATTTTTTTTTTGGTTGTTTGTTATTTGAGTTGTGTACTCAAGTAATTCATAAAATAAATTAGGGGCCAGTATGGAGAAGGCAGCCAATAAACTCATACATTTAGGTCTCATCATTCCTTTGCCATTTGTCTCCTTTTACTTTCTAGCCTTCCTTGTTGGTACCCGTACAGTTAACTATTGTTTGTATCATTTCTTCATTTAAGTACAGAAGTAATGATTGAGTGGGAGCAAATATATGTGATCTGTGAATAGGAGCTTGGTTTCAAGGCAACTAAGTCATGCCACATTGAAAATAAAATACTCATAACCTAAGTAAATAGAGCCATTGAATAAAATACAGTACATACAAACCATACACAAACAGAAAGACTAAAATCCACTAAAGTTTTTTTTTTTTTTTTTATTTGTTGTGAGTTTTATTGCAAAAAATTAAACATTTTATTACCAATTTTGATTTTAGGCAAAATGAATAAAGACAAATTTTTATTGCATTGTATTGTAATTTATTGTAATGTATTGTAAATGAAACTTGGCATACACATTAAGAATAACATTGACAAAAAGTTTAAAGAAGATTATTACACAGCAGTTATTGGAAGTGTTACAAATGGCATGTATGTGGGGGTCACATAAATATTTGAGAACTCGTCAGGGGTAGCAAATGTAAAAATGTTATAAAACTTTCTAGTTGGATATATATATAAAAAAAGCCTCTTGAATTTTGTAAACAATATCAATGAAAAGAAGCCTGCAATGTTTGAAGGGTGTAGCTAGCATACTTTTCCTCCCAATTCATTTGGCGTTCCTTAAAAATCCAGAAAATGCAAAATTGAGAAAAATGAAAAAATATAAAATTGTGTTTTTTTAAATAAGAGGCTGCATGAACGATATAGGATGCATACACCATGTACATATATCCTTCATGATTTAAAAATCAATTAGAAAACTAAGACAGAAAAGATAGAAAAAAAAATTAACACACAAACTTAATAAATAAAATACATAAATACGAAAATTCTGAAAACTTTTCCTATGAGA